GGTAGTTACAGGACTATCGCTAGCTTCTAAGGTGTTTCATCCACATGCATGGTAAAGTTCATGCTGGCTTTGGCAGAAAGTTTCAATTTCTTTTTTTTTATTTTTATTTTTATTTTTTTTGCTATAGGGCACATGTGCTCACTAGACTGACAGAGAGAGACAGGGAGACAGAAAGCGAGAAATCACCCCTCAGGGGGGATGGCCACAACTGCAATCCATTCTCCATTCTCCTCTCGTGATCTTGGGCATGCACGCACATGCACCTGGCGTGAGTTTAAGCCACTGATTCTGGGACTAGAACCGTGGTCGACTACATGGGAATCCAGCGACATAGCCATTATGCCAACTGCTGGTCCCTGTCACCTTAATTCTTGAGCCCAGCTGGGATTCCCTGAGGATGCAGATGGAGCATTACTACCCTCTCCCATGTGTATATATAAGTGTACACCCATTCACGCTTCTGAGAAGTGATGTGATCTGGGTCTGCTATTGCTGTTGAGGCCTCTAGGTCTCTCAGCCGCCTTTCTATACTGCACAGTGTGAGCAGGAAGGCTGCAACTCCTTACCACTCTCCAGCCTGTTAGCTTCTTATTACATCCCTGCTTTAGAAGCCCTTGATTTCACTTTTTCCTGGGAGTTTCTCTGGAGTTGGCTGCATCCCTTCTGCATCCTGTCCTGCACAGCCCAGAAACTCTAGACACGGTCCTTCCTCCTTTCCAGAACAAGCTCCTTGCAGGTTTGGGAACGGCAGCATCTTTCCCCTGTCTCTCATTTCCCAGTTCCTTATTCCTCTTCCCACTGCTATTAAGTTTTCAGTAGCCTCCTCTTCCCTCTTTTGTTAGTCTGGCTTCAATACTTGGGAAATGAATTTCCTTTTTTTTTTTTTCCCCTGACATAGTAGCAAGGTTTCTGCTTCCCTTCCTGTACATCCTCACCTCAACTCTTCCGGGCTTCAGTTTTGCCAGAGCAACATATCCAAGGACAGAACAGCCAGGCAGACCCAGGTGGGATTCCACTTGGTTCAAGCACACCTCAGGCAGCATTCCTAAAATTCCGGTGAAACTAAAAGGCTTCATAGGCCTGTGTTGAAGAAGACACAAGTGCATTCCCAAGGCATCTATTGTAGTAAACCTCACATTTCTGTGAGACTTTGGTCTATTTTATACCAAAGTTTGGGGATTAAAAGCTGATGTGTAACTGTCATGAAGAAGACAGTATTTTATGCTTAAATACAATGTGGATATGCAAGTAAAAAATTGCTGCATTCACAGTAATTTTTTAAAAATATTTTTTATTTCATTTTCTTTTATACATTCAATCACATTATTTAGCTTACAAAGTGAATATTCCAACTTGTGAACATTTCTCCCTTGTCTAGTGGATAAACTATAAAATTACCAACAAATACCACATTTCTTTATCCCTTCAATGCTTTGCCTTTCTATTTTCCTTCTAAATGGTCTTCCTCAGACTCTACTCTTTCACACACAGTATATCAGGTATTCACATCCATTTACTGTGTTTCTATATCCTTTAGTCAATCAATTCCCATCACAGAGTACGGACACTTGGTATATATTAAGTGGGGATATACAATGTCTCTCCTTTATAGCCTGGCTTGCTTCACTCAGTATATCTTCCATATTCTTCCACTTTCTGTCAAAAGCCATGGTCTTATTTTTTATGGGTGAATTGTATTCCATAGAGTATATGTGCCACAGTTTTTCAACCCATTCATCTGTTCGTGGGCATTAGGGTTGGTTCTATGTCTTAGCAATTGTGGATCGTGCCACAACAAACATCGATGTGCACTCAAGCATCCAGACCCATTCGCAGTTATTTTTAAGGTGAAGTAAGACCATGGGACTCGTCGG